GATTGCTATATTGAGTATTGCGGACGACAACCCCTGCCACCAAAGATTTATTTAGCTAGTACCTGGATGCATTCTCAGGACAACTGAAGGATTCCCTACGAGCCAAAGTATAGGCGTAAGGATCTAACCTAAAGAATATTAAGAGATTCCTTACAAGCCAAAATGTAGACATAAAGATCCAACCCCAAGAACATTATTTTATTTTATTTTCTTTTTCTCTGCTAGCCTTTAGCATTTAGACTTTGCTCTATGACTGATAGAATCACTGAACTACACAACAAATATATTGTAAACCACAAACATGAACATCAACAAAATTCTGTCCTTCTCTTTATTACTTTACAAACCTTAAACCCAGATCTCTCTTGTCAACTTTGTTATCTTCTACCTAGAACTAGCCCTCATACTTTTCTTCAAACACCTTTTGGAAGATTTTGGAATTAGTATTTTAATATCTACGGTGCATATGATTGTTGGTAAAATAGTACGGATCTGTATATTTGAGTGCTGCAAAGTTTCATTTTAAAATAGGCTTATAAGATCCATGAAAATATGGTTGAATGTTGAAACAAGTGATGATTAATAAGGTATTTGTTAATGAATATTAAGAGGCTAATATAATTCTATAGCTATCTGACAAACTCAAAACTCCAAATAGGTAGACTTCGATTAATGCGTAGATTTGGACTGAGTTTTGGGTCTGTTGGTCTTGCCAAAGTGATGCTGAGAGTTAAGATAAGTATTTTTCTTTCTAATTCTATTGATAGTTTTTCTTTATTCTCTATTTCAAAGGCAGAACCCTATATTTTTGTTAGGTTCTTTCTCAGTGTACTGCGGCAGGACTCGAATAAACTCTTCTGATCCTGAATTTGGTTCACGATATCACATGATTATAGGGCATGCCTATGCTGTGTCGATTAGTTAATACTGGTCATAGCTGTGTCAATAAAACTATCTAGCATTACCAACCTAAAAAATTTCGCTAAAAAATTTTGCTGTTAGATTAAGGTTAGATTAAGTTATAAAGTTAGGTTAGAAAGAACTTTAGTAATACCAAAATTCGCAAGAAAAATTTTTTGCTAGTGTGCAAAAGGTGGTTTCATAGATAAAATGTTAAGTTATAAGCAGTTTTTTTGTTAGTTTTAATTTTTTGCGTTTCTTCTGCATTCATACCTGATCTTGAAATCTGATTGACCAGTTAAATTTTTTAGGTTGGTAATGATTGGACAGTTTGTCAATAATGCTATGAAAGAAGCAAATTATTTTGCTTATTTAATCAACAATTAAATTGTTAAGGCATTAATAAACTGATTATCGTTATCAGAAAATTTGAATTGTCGAATAACTAGTTGAATATATTGCTATTTTTAAATGATTCATTGAATTCTTTTTTTACTATGCATTAACTAAATCAGCTACTTATCTTTACAGAAATATTTTTAATTGATTGGCTAGTCAACGAAGTGACGAAGCCAACATTATTGCGAGATCAGAAATAACATCATTTCACATGGATTTGTAAGCGTAATATTATTTTCATGCTGAATTATGTGAAAGTTAGTATATATAAGGGCACCTTTACATTAATGAGATCTATCTTTGATTTCACTATCGCCTGCCTTATAATATTAGGCTAGCTTCATCGTCCCACCCATCCTGCCCAAAAAAGTTAGAAAAGTGCTATCTGAATTACA